AAAAAAAAAAAAAAAAAATGGCAGACAGCACATGTCCTAAAAACCAAGCTAAACTGTTTAGCATGGTAATATCCAAGTCTGTACTTCCTGAATTTAAATCTTGAGTCACACTTGGAAAAGAAAGTCCCTAAAATATTAGTTCCTTGATTCAAAACAACTCATATACAAAAAGGTGCAGTGATAATTGTTGGACAGTTTTTTTAGATGAATTACACACACCTCTTATCCAAGAATATGTTTGGTCTTTAAAGCATATTTGGCTGTTAAGACTAAGATGAAGAGCTCTGTGCAAAAAAGGGGTTTGAAACATGATTTAATAAATAAACACCGAGATAAGAAAGTGCATTTGCTCACAGGACATCTTGGTTATATTCCAGATATCCACTCCAGACCAAGGAGCTGAACAACAAGGGGATGGAGAAGGTCAGTCTGGTGGAAGGAGAAACGAACCATTAAGGAAGAAATAATAATGTACACGTGCATATATATAACACGTCCTTGCTTCAGAAACAAAGGCTTAACTTCACTTACAAAGAGCAAACTAAAGCAGACACATGTAACACTGTAGCTCCACACTTACAACAAACACACACTGTTATTTACAGTCGCTTTAACGCTGTGAACACTTTAACCTGCCGTGTTAGCTGGCAGCTATCTAGGTCATCACAAACAAAACACAACACACAAGCTGCGCTACATCCGCGGTGAGCTGGGAGAAGAGTTAGCGCCACACGGCTGCTCTATCTGCCGCTTCTCTCTATTAAAAAACACACACAATTGTGAACTTATTTGGAGAACTCACAGTGTGTTCATCGTGTCCTCGGCTGGTCTGAGCTCAGCTGTTGTGTCCGGTGGGAAGGCGGTTATAGAGGCGGCGGTCACGTGACAAGGGTTCACGTGATTTTGTTGTTCAGATTCAGTTTCAGTGCGTTAAGTTAGTTTTTACTTAAACGAGCTTTTCCAGTATGTTACATTACAGTGCACAGTGATGTAAGCAGCAGCCGTCCCCTCTCCAGTCTCGGCTTTATAGGGCGGGGGGGGCTCGGTGTGGATCTATCACTCACACTGGGTCAAATGCCTTGCCACCACAGTTTGATGTCAAATTGAACACATTCATTTAGATTCATTTTGAATAGAATTATTGAAATATTGAATGAAAGAAGGCTTGGAAATAAACAATTTATTGATTTTTAATGCCAAATTCAGATATTTCTATTTAATGCTTTAATAATTTGCCACAATAATGTAATGTTCCCTCAGGCTGCGAGACTGCTGAATTCATCCTTAGCACATCATCATTCAAAATACTATTTTTTTAGTATTTATATGATTTATTAATTAATTGTAATGTAAATCATTTCTGCATATATGTTTGTTTGTTTGTTTTAGGAGTAGCATAAAGGGAACTGCTATCATTTTACTACACAACCCTGCATTGTAAATGTAGGTAAATAACCTTGAATTTGGAGGCTTTCCCAATCAAATATTGATATTGTTTGCAATTAAATGAGCATATATTTCTGCCACCTCTTAAAGTCTCAGGCTTGGGAGTAACGGATTACAAGTAACTGAGATATGTAATCAGGATAGAAAAAAGATAACTAATCCATAAAAAATGGGATTATTTAGTAGGATAACAATTCTAAAAAATGTTTTTCTTTAAATGGCCGTTTTTGAAGCCTAAAACCTTTAATTTTTTCCATTTTCTTTTCTAAAGTTACATTGTTCTGTTTTACAGAATACACCATCAGTACATCTTATTGACAATTCTTTTCTCTTGCTTTCATACATATTTGGTGTTGAGGTAATCCAAAAGTAATACTTTCATAATTCTAGTCTAAAATTTCTTACTCTTCAAACCTTGTGTGAACACTCAGCAACCATCGGTTCCTCTAAGCAGCTGTGTAAGACTCTGAAAATTAAAAGAACTAATGCCCCCAAAGCAGGAGAAGGCTGTAAGTTGATAGCAAAGTATTATCAGCTTGCAGTTTCCACAGTTCGAAATGTAATTAAGAGATAGCAGTTTAGGGGAACTGTGGAGGTCAAGATGAGATCTGGAAAACCGTCTCGAAGAGAATTGCCTGTATGCTGGTCAAAACAAAACACTGCTGGAAGAGATATCAGCCTCAGGAGTGCTGGTGCATCGTTCCACTGTGCAGTGATAGTTGCACAAACAAGACCGTCATTACTAAGTGCTGACAGTGTAGGTCGCCCAAACTTTTTCACGTTATTTTTGTTCAATTTATGAAATAAAACAAAACAATGCATGAATGTTTGCTGCAAATATCATGTTTTATGTTCCATACCCTACAGAGTCTTTGTTTACATCTTTTCAATGAAAGAAATCACCAAAATGTGTGATTTGTCAAGGGACGCCAAACCTTTACATACAGCTGGAGGTCAGAAGTAGATATTGCTTCATTTTGAGTTTTTACAAGACAAAAACCCCTCCATAGATAACTATTCTTTCTAAATATATAATATACACAAATAAACCATAACTAAGAATTAAAAATGTTTATTAAAAGAATAGTTACAACTGACTCTTGGAACTTGGACTTTAAACAAAAACTATATTTACAGAAACATACTGGAAGACAGCAGCACAAGTCTGTTTTTGACAGCCTGTTACATTTTAGAATTGAACACTCTCCAACCATTGAACTTAACTTGAGACAAGGCCACATTGTCAAAATGTGTTTAACTTTTATACATTGTACTACAAGTTAAAAAGCTTCAAATTAATTACTCTGGCCTATTATCAATCATACTATGTTTCACACTGATGAGATCAAATCCTGCATTTAAAAAAGTATCACATGTGAAAGACAGGAAAGCAAAACACTTCAAATGTTTTATTATTCACATCTGATGAGTTAAACAAGGAAGGACTCACATGTATCCTCTGTTCCCTTGATTTTAATTCATGTGAATCATTGATTTTTTCTTTAAAATGACGTGACATTTCAGATCCAATTAGTCATTGTCTGAGAAGTAAAAATCTTCTTCCTCTCCGCTTTCAGACAGCACTCCATCGTTTCCCGGGAACATCTCCCAAACAACAAAGGTGTCATTTTCTAGTGAAAGAGGGAAAGCAACAGATTGTGTTAAGCAATCAAGTGTTACAAAAGAAACGTGGCAATAACTGCTTTCTACTTTCAATGACAACTCCTTTCTGAAAATCTTAATGAGAATCCTCTAACCACAGCAACAACCAAAAACAGAACTACAATACAATGCAAGCATTATACACTTTAAATTGGTATTGTTTAGTATTATCCCTCCTTTCCACAACACAAGTGTAAACTCATTAGCGGCACATTTCTCAAGAAACCTACCTGTGTTCCCACATCTTCTCATTGTTCGTTTAACTGATGGCGTGGGTGAGAAGCTCTGAAAGGAACAAAAAAGATAGAAAAGGAAGAATTGTTTTTCCAATAAAAAAACAACAATCCATGTTCGAGATCAAAACAACCTCAATGAGTAAGTACCTTTGAAGGAGGAGCCTGTTTGCAGACATTAAACTGACGTTTTTTCATCCTCTTCTGCAGCTGAAAGACGTACTTGTCGTCATTGCTCCTTTGAAATCAAGCAAGAAGTAAGTTAGTTTTAAGTTAAAACAACTCTTACAAATAAAAAAATAGAGGTCAGCGCCATTCACCTGTTGGGAGAGCCCATCATGCCGGGAGTGATATGCAGACACTGAGGAGTCTTGACTTCGGGGAAACCTGCGGACATCGGGGTCAGAGGCTCCAGCTCTGTCAATGTGAAGTCCTGGTCTTCACTCGGACACATAGAGGGCATCTACGCATCAAGACAGACAACCGGGGAAGTGAGGGGGGTCTCGTAATCACTAGAGAGGGATTTTGTGCTAAATACAAATGAAGAAAGAAACCAACCTCAAACCGTTTATTCTGCATGTACTCAGAGCTGAAAACGTCATCAACGTCTTCTCGGGGCATGGTCTCAAGAAACTGACGCACCTGCTGCTTCCTCTTCAGAGTTCCCACTCGGGCCGATATCACAGGATGATCTGTGAATAGTCAAAGCATGTAAAATCTCTGCAGTTAACCAAAGTTCTCTCTTGCAAAAACATTTAGATCATTTCAGTTATTAAAAAAAAGTTTACATTACCCAGACAACAACTACAAAACGTCTTACTTTATCTAATTATTTATAATCAGTTAACCGTTAAAGTAGAATGGCAAACGTTAGATGGTTCCAGCTTCTAAATCGATAGGTTTATGCACTATGTGAGTGTATACATCACCTTAGGCTTTAGTAAATTATGATTTTAAAAAAGGAGAATACATCCACATATGAAATAAATGTTGTGGATGTTTGTGGATCCAGAGGGATATAGGGGAAGTCTGATAAATTTCCTCAAGTGAAAAAAAATCTCTGGTCTGTTGCATCAATTTCATCAATCAATTTTTTTTTTTTTACTTTTAATTGTGAGTCAGTGTGGCTGTTACAGGAGTTGTGCAATGCTAAAATGAGTGGAGTTCTCTTTTAACCAATTTACTTAAATCTACAGCCCAAAATAAGACTTTTCTCTACCTGGGCCTTTCGGTGCTTCCATCTTTTTCTTTTTGGGTTTCTTGGCGTTCTTGGCGGGAGTCTGGGAGGTTCCCTTGGATGTGTGCTGGTTGTGGCACTCTTCAGCAGAACGTGTTCCAACCACCCTCGCCACCTTTGCCCAGTAACCTGCCACGTGCTTAGGGTAGAAGGACACCGCTCTGGAAACCACAAACACGCACACACACCGTTACGATACAGAAATATGTTATTTCAGTTCTGCTGATTGCTACTTCCTCATTCTGTTGGACAAAACTTACTCTTGTAGCTTCATAAGCTCTGCCTCGGTCCACTTGTCTTCCTCTTGGTCTTGTGGAATCATTGTGTGGCCTTTATCTGCCTTCTGTTTCTTGCTGGATTGTGTCGACTTAGGCAAAGGTTTTGTGGGTTGTGATGTCTTTGTGCATTTGCTCTGTTGATGTTTTGTTTGTGTCTGTGCAGCATCTCTATTTTTTGTCACTCTTGTTCTCTTCCCGCTGTCCTCGGACTCCCTTGGTGGAGACACATGGCTCGGCTGTGACTTCCCTCCTCTCTTCCTGTGCACTCGTTCCCCCCGCGTCTTTCTCCTGATGGCCAAGTCATCATCTGTTGACTGATCCTGTGATGTTTTATCATCACTAGTGGGAGAGTCTGGGGATGCAGTGACAGACCGTTTGCTCTGTGAAACTCTCACTGAAGATCTTCTGCTGTCATGTGTTTGTTTTTTTGACTTTCGCGTTGAAGACTTTTTGGGTTCGCCTTGCTTTTGAGGGACAGTGTCCACATACAACATTCTCTCTGCAGCTGGACACCGTTGGCTGGACCTTGTTGTTCTGCCAGACCACTCTTCAGGGCTGCTAAGGGTCTCCACAGGAGGTGAAAACGAGGGCTTCTCGCTAGGGTTAGCCTTTGCTCTGTTGCGTTTGCGGAGTGGAGCCTTGACCTTCCTCAGCGGTACTGATGCTGCTTCATTATTGGCTGATTCACACTGCTTACGGGCTGGAAACACAGGACAGTTTGTCTGTATGAAACTTATAAATTATCTCACAATACTTAAACGACAGCTCCTAAGTTTTATTTACCTTCGCTGCAGGGCAGGAACACACGGGCAGGTTTCTGTGATGACCTCGCAGATACTTGTGGAGTGACCTCCTGCGAAATATAAACAGTCAAACAACTGGTCCTGATGGGTAAAAAAAATAATCTGGATTATTATGCAACTCATGTGAGCTGAATTTACCGGATTGCAGATGGAGGTATCGTAACATTCATGTATGGTCACATTCATGTGTGCATCCAGTATGACTCTCCCTCCTTTCCAGTACTCCAGAGGTGGCTTGATGACGCGACCACTTCGAGACACTTTTGTTGAAGACGAGGAAGCAGGACAGGGATCAGCTGGTGAAGAGGAGATAAATAAATGTAAATGGTAACAAAAAAGTCCTCCAGTACAGCTGTAATGTATTCAGATATGCAAGTTATTACACTTCCAGAGATTTAAAGTATAAAAACCATGTATGCTGCTAACATGCTGAACTACAAAGGTGCCCATGCTAAACGTTATACCTGCTTAGCATCAGCAAGTTAGCAGCGTCATTGTGAGCATGTTAGCATGCTGACAGTATTCAGCTCAAAACACCACTGTGCCTATGTGTCGCCTCACAGAGCCCTTAGCTTGGCCGTATACGTTATATATGTTTTGTTACATTTAATATGAAGCTCTGTGTGACACACGTGTCGGTCTACGTTTCAACTAGACATAACAAACAAAGTATCAAATAACGAGAACTGGGAGAAAAGCAGTGGTTTCTACAGATGCCTCAGCCCGATGAACAATGGCGGTAGAAGTCTGTTATCCAGTGTATCTTGTGCATATGAGGTCCTGTTGTAATAATGTTGGGCTGAAGCTGTTTCTTTTGTACTCACGGGTCTTTAAAGGCTTTTGCCTATGTCGCTTCACAGAAAGTTTGATGGATGCCTCAGGGTTCGTCTTTGCCATGATACTTCTCCCTTCACTGTTCCTCTCTGTTTCTTTGCTGGAGCCACTACGACAGAGCAAAATCAAACTGAATATAGTGAATATGGCTATAATCAATTATGGTTAAATTACTCAACATCCCCAGCAAAAACAAAAGAATATTGTATCTGTAAGAGCGTGGACCTTATTGCAGGGAAATAAATATACTTACCCTTTAGACTCTGACAGAAACTTCTCATAAAGTGCCTTCCAGTTCGGAGGAAAACCATTAACAAACTTCTTCAAAAGCCACCCTGGCAACCCTGCAGGTGAGATAGAAGAAAAAGAATATCAATCCATGCAACACGTCTATTTCAAAGCTTTTTAATGGACTTTTAACTTCTAAGTGAAACATATTCTCAGCGGAAAATATCTACCCATACCAGAGTCAACACCCAGGTTCATCTTTCCAACCAGTATGTAAACCCTGCCAGAGACGGTCTTCAGCACATAATTAGAAACCCTGTCCATAATGATGTTACTGTTCCATGGTATGTTTTCCTCCCTGGGTGGAAAAGACAAGAAAAGAAATCCCAGTGTTCACATTAAACCACACATTCAAAGCTTCATGTCTGTCTCATAGGAAGTAGCTGGGTAAGCAGTCTGAAAATTATTAAATGAGTTAAATCAAGATGTCACCAGAAACACTTACCGGTGGATTCCATCAACAAACAGGCCCGTATGATTCCTCCTCAGGAACCAATTCTTGAGATAAATCACACTCTCCTGTCAAAGAGGACAGGACAAGCCCAATAAGGAACAAAAGACAAAACTGTAGTTGATTTCCATTTGAGCTCAAATCCAAACCTTTTGACCCCCAACAATCTGGTCTTACATGTTCAATCAATCTTTTATGCTCCCTAATTGTTACTATCACCCTTTTTATCATAGACTGTAATTTAAGAGCTACTTATTTGAAAAATCTATTTCTACTCACACTTGGGAATGTGTTGCGCCTGAATACACCCTCGTGTTTCTTCGGTATGGAGACCCGTGGCGTATTGAGTACGAGGGGGTCTTCGAGCAAAACAGGTTGTGACGGCCCAGCAGGGGTCAGGACGTCCTCGGAGGGATCTGTGTCTGATTGGCTGTCAGCTGACTCTACCCTGGACCGGCTGACAGGAACCACACTTTCTTGAACAGCTGTAAAGGCAGTGTCCTCCATCTCACCCATACTGTGAGCTGTGGAGGGAGGCGTGTCTCTGGGCGGATGGAAGTTACCTGTGGGAAATACTGTAAGTAATAACATGAACTACGTTGCGCGACGTGCAAACATGACATAGCAAAAAGGATCCTGATGGATTCTCACCCCTGTCAAAGAGATCCCTGGTGTTGCTGCTGACGTTCTGAACTCCCGGCTGCTCTGTTTTACTTTCCCTCTCCTTCATGTAAGCAAACATCTTGGCTGGAGACATTGGAGGAATTTCTTCTGCAAGAACACAGCAACCTGTTCAAAACAGCAAAGAGGGCACCAGTCAGTTCCTTCCCCTAAAGGATGACACAAGGAAGAAGAGTTTAAAACAAAGCAGCAATAAAATCTCACGTTTCTTTCCGATGGATTTTGGTGGTGGGAACGTGGGTTCGTGACTGAACTGGTTCGTATCCGACCAGTCAGCAGAGAATCCTCTTCCATGATCCACATCCCCCATGTAAGTGTTGTTGTGGGCGTCATCCTCTCTGAAGGCGCTGCAGGTTTTCCTTTCTCGTGTCTGATCACTGAGCTCCCTCGTACTGCTGCTAACGTCGTTAAACCCCCATGGCTCCCATTTTCTCTTCCTCAACCTCTTCCTCATGGGGGAAAACACAGAGGCTGAAGACATCAGGGGAGCACATTCCTCCTCAAACACATGCCTCACACTGTCATTCTCTGCTGGCTGTATCTTTACTGGAGTCTTGCTGGTCACCTTGAAACCATCCAGGTCTCTGATGTGAGGTGGTCCTGTGTGGATCTGCTTCCTGGTCTGAGAGAGGGGATAAGACACCGCCGTGGACTCCAGGAAGGCTCCCTTTCTTGGTGTGCATCCACGTCCTCTTCCAGTCACAGGGGGCATTTCCTCCGCCGGCCTGCTGCTCATGTCTGAATACGAGTACCCGAAGGTTTTCTGCGGACTCGATATGGGCGAGAGGGTCAAGGCCTGCGCTTCATTGCGATAAGAACCAACCCTCTGGTTCTCCTTGTGCTCCTCGGTCATCCAGGTGCTCTCTGTCCTCCTCCTGGGAGACTTTACGACATGTTTCTCTCTAACGTTACACAGCGGGTCCGCGGCTGCACCTGCTGCCCCCTCCGTCGCGCACATACCTTCTCTCTGCACTTTGGATTTGAGCTTAGCAAACACCTTCGCGGGGGATTCGAACCGCGGTGTCGTGTGTTGCAATAAACGGTGGTACGACGCCATGGTTTCTGGAGGAAAAGAAAAGTTGTTATTGTAAATCCGAGGCGTATGCTAGCAGCTAGCTAGCCCGCTAGCCCGCGAGCATTCAAATGTCTCATCACTGCCGCCTTTGGCTCGAGGCCTGTGACGTACCTGCAAAACAAATACGTCACTTCCGCACAAGTTTTACTCGTTTAAATTCAAGATACATTTGCGATGTTGTGTCTATTTTATTATGTAAAAACATTTGACACAAGATCTGGAGCTTGCCTCATAAATATCTATTAACTAATAAAGTTTGAATAATCTCTATTACAGCTTTATCGTGAATGTTACCCCACTAACTTTTATGTAAAGAGGTTTTAAAAGAGACATTAATATTAACTGTACCAAGTAATTTTATTTTGGAATTTCCATTATAGTACATTATTTCTGATTAGTGCTTTTTATTAATGATCATGTCCTTCCAGAAATTGTTTTTGTGTTTAAAACATATATTGGCTGACATTTAGTTTCCATGTCAGTGACATGAATGACTCTATCCCATAAAGCCTGAAATATTACAAATACTCTAAACTATCTGTAGGTGAACTATCCAAGTTACCTATTAATAACTTGATAATAATTGTGGCTTAATTCCATTTACAAATGTACTGAAACAACAATTTGCAAACAATTGGTAGCTCAAACAACATAAATATGTTGTATCCTCAACAGGTTTTTTTAAAACTAACTGCATACAATTTATTTAATATTTATGAATGTTTTCTTTGTTTAAATTCCTATATATTCCTATATGTTATGTACATGTTGTGTCCCATAGAGGGCACTAACACCTTGAGTAAATTACTAAAAAACCTTAGAAGAAGAAGCGTACTGCGCATGCTCCCAAGTCAAACTTCCGGTGTAAGACGCTTTTGTGGCTGTCACTTGTTCTGTTTCGTTTAGTTATTGGTAAAATTCAAAGCAACTATTTATCCTGTGTTGTTTTTATTGACGTGAACAGTGTGGATGTTACAATTAATACAGAACGGACCGTCCTAAGTGTTAATACATCAGGTTATAAAGTGTTGTCAAGCGGTCAACAAACTCCTGGACTTGAGTGACAGAAGTGATGCAACATGGCAGCAACTCCTCTCAGTAGGTCTCTTCTCTCTGCACTAAGGAGACACGCTCGCTGTCAGAGCCGTGGACTTAACTCTTCGGCAGAGAGGACAGTCAGCCGGGTGTCCTCGGTGGTGATATGCAGTCACAGCGGAGCGGAAGGACACACAAGCGTGGACCGGGGACAGCCGGTGGAGTGGGACAGAAGAAGTGGTCGGGACAACAGCAGCAGGTCTCCCCTGCTCAGGTCTGTGTCTGTGGGTCTGGGACTCTGCGGTGCGGCGCTGCTGGACAGTCAGAAAGAAGACAAAGACAAGGACAGAGGAGTCTCGATATCCGGGCGGTGTCTTGCACTCATTCTGCCATCGGCTCAGTGTGCTTCCCCCTTTAAACCCGACAGCCCCCGCTATAAATACAACTTTATTGCAGATGTGGTAGAAAAGTCCACTCCAGCTGTCGTGTACATTGAAATCTTGGGCAGGTGAGTTGACTGAAAAGGCGCCACGTGGAATAGTTGAAATGTTTGTTTTTGTTGTGCTGCATGTTACATACCTTCTTTCCACTGCCGCTACCCCCGCAGTGTGGAGTTATACATTGTGATAGGTGATTTAAAAAGTGTGACCGTATAATATTAAGGTATAAGATACAGAAACTATTACCAGTTTTAAAAGCTGTGATACCACATGAGAAACATACAGCTGTGTCTGACCTTATCTAAAGACTATGGGGACACATTTGATCGAAATAAATAAGTATAAACATTTGCAAAGGCAACATAGCTGAAATTCCTCCAGGTCACAGAATTTAGTGTAATATCTGTCATGTTCATTTCTTTAATTTGTCCAAATCCAAAGCACTGCTGTGACTTTGATTCATTGGTCGACAGCCTCATTTTAAATTGCACATAGTTTAATAAAAGCTATTTTATTTATAAAAGCTATTTTATTTCTTTTACTTTTTGTATAGTTTTCTATTTGAATGTATGTCTAATGCATGTTTGTATGCTGCTACTGGATGCTTGAATTTAAAATAAATAAAGTATCTATCTATCTATCTATCTATCTATCTGTGAAGCAATGATCAGGAGATGTTTGGTATTTTTCTGAACATAATCAATTAGTCACTAGAAGGTCTTATATTTCATTATGACTCATAACCACCTAACCACCTCAGTTTCACTTCACAGTGAGGCAGTCAGTTTGTGGAAATGAGAGAAACTATTTTTTGATTGTGTGAAGTGTGCTCTGCCTGATCTTGTTGAACCTGTATGTTTGGCCCTTCCTAAAATGATGTTTCATTTAATTTAATTCTCCTGCTTTTACTGCTTTACAGACACCCATTTTCAGGAAGAGAAGTCCCAGTGTCAAATGGCTCTGGTTTCATTATCAGCAGTGATGGGCTCATCGTCACCAATGCTCATGTTGTGGCCAACAAGAGAGGCGTCCGTGTGAAGCTCATCAACGGAGACATGTACAACGCCACTGTGCAAGATGTTGATCCAGTGGCAGACATCGCTACCATCAAAATCACTGCGAAGGTGAGCAACAAACTACAAAAATCTCTGCTGAAGGAACTTTATTTTACTGGATCCACATTTGCTCCAAACACAGTGAGTGAAGCACAGAGACTAACAGCAGTTCATCACTGTAACAGACAGAAAAAAGTAAAGACAAAAGGATATACATTGAAGAGAAAGAACACAACATGTCAACACTTCACAGACATGAAATCAGAGGAATGAAGCCAGATGATTTATACTAACATATTCAAAATTCAGCAAATAAGGGGGGAAACACACTAAATTCAGATTTATTATGGTATCTTAATGAGACTGTCAAACTTCATTCTTGTGACTGTTCAATATGGATTGGATTAAAATATTGTACTGTACTGTATCTATGTGTTTTGCTTTTTGTCTCCATAAGAAGGTGCTGTTAGAGGACAAAAAGTGCCCTTGAATACGATATATTCTATAAAGCCGTCTAGAGGTCGAGATCCTCGCATACATCAGACCACAGAACTTCTTTATCCAACCTCTTTATAATAGAGCTTACATGATCGGGTCAAGAAAATTAGGACCCAGATACAACGGGAAGCTCCATTCTTTAGATAGTATGAATGACCTGCGAGCAGTGAGGATGTACTGTTGAACTTTCTCTCTGCTCCTCTCCCCTGACACGCAGAATCCTTTACCCACGCTCACCCTTGGTCGGTCGTCCGATGTTCGACAAGGAGAGTTTGTTGTTGCCATGGGAAGCCCGTTTTCTTTACGGAACACAATCACGTCAGGAATCGTCAGCTCAGTGCAGCGAGGCAGTAAGGAGCTGGGCCTGTCCAACTCCAACATGGAGTACATCCAGACTGACGCAGCCATTGATGTGAGTGTTCTGCAATAATCCGATTTAAGGGTATATATATTGGTATATGGACACAAGGGAAGAAACCTAATAGTGACACGCTTGATAAACACGCTTGTTTTTATGAGGGTGTCTGACCCTTTTCAGTTTACAGATGGCCTGGTTTAAGGACTAATAGTGTTCTAAATGCCTGTAGACTGTGACTCAGAAATGTCTTGCCAGATGCTCTTGACGTCACATGTGACTGATTTGTTTTGCAGTTTGGAAATTCTGGAGGTCCCCTGATTAACTTGGTGAGTCACCGGTCCTTGTTAAATGTTTATCATCAAATTCAAATGTGGCCATACCTGCTCTGCCTCAATGGACAGCAGATTTTCAGGTTGTTTAACGTACTGTAATTACAGTTGCTAATGTTACATGAGAGAATATTAAATTTATAGTACAAATTATTGCATCAGGCAACGTTTTGTTGTCTGTTGTTACGGGATATGTAAACTGAAAATCATCACTATCAATATTGAGTCCATTTAGTCAGATGCTATTGGACTTTGGCAGCTAAATAGCATAATGAGGCACCCTGAACATGAACACCCTGTCTGAATGTGTTATCTCTCCTCTAATCAGGATGGGGAAGTCATCGGTATAAACACCATGAAGGTCACTGCAGGAATCTCCTTTGCTATTCCATCGGATCGCCTGAGACTTTTTCTTGATCAAGCAGCAAAGAAAAAGCGTAAGTAAACAGGCTGAGTGTCAAAAGCTACACACCACACCCTCTTTTCTGTCGTCCATAATCTCTGTAGCATTTAATTGTTCTCTTTTTATTTAAGAAATTATTTTCACAAATTTTTGTTTTGTTTTTTTCCCCAAGAATCTTGGTTTGGTGGGGCAGAGACAAAACGGCGGTACATTGGTGTCACGATGCTGACACTGACGCAAAGGTAAACGCTTCACAATCAGAAACGTCTGCGATAAATCTGAGTGCAGTGTAGTTACAGCAGAGCTCCCACCACTGCGTCCAAAACCAGACGTCTTTCTATTTTGTCCCCTTTTTTCCAGCATCATTGCAGAGTTGAAGTTGAGAGACCCATCCTTCCCAGACGTGACACACGGCATCCTGATTCACAGAGTGATCATGGGCTCCCCGGCCAATAGGTAAGCAGACCGTGGGTGTGGATGAATGGTGAATGACTCTCCTTGCTGTTGACGTTCCAGTGTTGGAAGTGGCGTGTTTCCCTTCAGCCACTGAATATTTCTGTCTCATGCATGTCTTGTTTTTGCAGATACAGACTTGAATAGGAATTTACACGTTTGGTATAAAGACGTACAGTGGCTTCAGGATGTGCTCGGACCACTTCACTTTTTGCACATTTTCTTGTGTAATAGACTTAATTTTAAATGGATGAACTGCAATTTCCCCAATTATTTAGCACTCAATAACACATAATGAGTTCAAATGGAGTGAAAATATCCATCCATCCAAGATGACTTGAAGCTGTAATTACTACCAATTAAGGGTTTGAACACTTACGTAAATAAGAGATTTCAGTTTTTGTTTTTTATTAATTTGCAAACCATGTTTTCACTTTGTCAGTGTAGATTGATGGGCAGACACAATATAGTACAAAAAGTGAAGAGGTTTGATTTAGATAAATATAAACATGGTATTATATAATGTGCAGATGTATTATAAATTGAATAAGTCGAGCAGAACATTGTGGACATTGTTGATAAAGTAGGTAAGGAATTTAGCTTCTATCATAACAATATGTTGCCGCTAACACCCAGTACTTGTCGTACTTGTTTCAGAGCGGGCATGCTACCAGGAGACATCGTGGTGGAGCTAAACGGAGTGAAGGTGCATACCTCCGAAGAGATCTACCAGGTCGTCCACACCAGCGACAAAATCACCATGGTGGTGCAGAGAGGACACGAGTTGCTTCGACTGCAAATAACCCCAGAGTACACAGAGTGACACTAACTTCATGTTGATGGACAGCCGGCCACATGATTTGTTCATGTACACAAGAGAAGAAAACTGTGAAACATGATCGTGACTATGGTCAGATGACAATGTGTAATCTAATAAACATGTAGTCAAACAGTGTTTTTAAATGTACATATATGCCATATTTGATGACTTTTGTTAAATATTTTGTTGACACCACAAAGTAAATTACAGTGACAAGCCTGTAGTGTCATCTTAAAATAAAATAACTAACCCTTTAGCCATATTTATCAATTAAGTCTTTCTCTACATGGCTGATGGCTGATAACTACATAATGGTTTCAATGTAATTTTTAAAATTCAAACTGTCATTATAAAGCTTAATGAACCTGCCAGCACCTGAAGACTCAAATGGATAAATGGGCCAGCTCCACAAAGATATTTTAGACTGGGCTGTAGTGTTGATTTTGGTCTGAGATTAGTTAGATTAGTAATGCAGGTTAGGCAGTTTCAAGCCAAAAAAAGCAGCCACCCCCAATCCCCAAGGCTGACTCATTCAATCCAACAATGCCAAAAAGCGGAAAACATACCTGTTTGTTTTTTTTCATCAACATTGTGGTGAATATAATGAGGGCAAAGAGGTTTTGGAGAGCACAGAAACATGTTGGAAATACCCAGCAGTGAGAACATTGTCAGTGGGTTACTTGAGGAAGAGATTGAGGCACCTCATAGGCTACTCGCAGGCTACCAGGTGGCCTTGGGCACCAAACTGGAGAACCCTGGTTAGATCTCAGCCATAGTCAATGTCTTTGGAAAGAGAAACTGGCCCCAGTATTTATTCCCAGGTTTTTGAGTACAAAATGTGCTGTGATACTTAATGAAACCTGAAACAATGTACTTCATTAAAGCCATTTAATGTTAGACAGCAACAAGAAGCATGAGAGACCAACAATATGGCATGGATCAATGGTATTAAACTGACTACGATAAACTGAGCAAACAAGTTTGACAACTCACAAATGCTACTATGATCACACAAGTATATGAATTGTTGAGATCCTACTTACTTTAAAACAGACTCATTTTGAGTATGTCACGCACATTAAAAACCAAAAACATGAATCCATTTCATGTTAAGAGAAAAATGCCAATTCTCCATGATGAGATGCAAAGAAAAATAGTGAAGACTCATATTTCATTTTGAGAGTCAAAGCTGTGAAGCCATACTGAGTAAATTAAAATTTCCCTGGTATATGTACAGTAACGCACACTTACAGTAAAGTAATAAAGTGACATGTACTGGACTGCTACACAATTAAATGCATTTACCTCAAAGACTGATAACTATTAAATGGAGATAACATTCAAACCACCTAAGGTTTAAACAATATGTTCATACTTCTGGACTAAAGACATCTTGTTAGGTACGAGTACTACAACATACAAGTATGGGAGGAAAAATAAAATTGTTCAAATCCCATTAAAACGACTTTAAAAAGGCTTAATATATATTGCTGGTAATATTTTTCTTTTTAAGAAAATATAAATTGTGCGACTGAAGCTTACAATACACTGCTGGCAGTAGCGCCAGGTTCTGTGGTGACCTGCTGGAAAATGGTCATCTGTCGAGGCGCTGTGTGCTGAGAGACTCCCCGGAAGAGAGAAAACAAAACGAAAAAAAACAACAATTGGACATCTCATGATGCCTGAATCCCTTGCACCAAAACCCAAATGCTGCCATGGTGTTTGTCACGGTGGAATGCTGCAGATATCACATGATGTGCACAAACAGCAGCAAAACTATAGTCAAACTCATACAGATACATAAATAAGGGGCAGTGGGGTGGGGGGGTGGGGGTC